CCTGCTAATGTCCCTGAGAAAGCAGAAGATGGCCCAGATCCTTGGATGCCTGCCACCCATGTGTGAGATCCAGATGTAGTTCCTGCCTCCTGGCTTCCACCTAGCCCAGACATCACTGTTGCTGACATTTGGAAAGTAAATGGATAGAAGATATCTGTTTATCTCTCCCTCTTTTTTTTTTTTTTTTTTAAGATTTTATTTATTTATTTGAAAGGTAGAGTTACAGACAGGGAGACAGACAGAAACGTCTTCTATCCACTGGTTCACTCCCCAAATGGCCACAAGGTCCGGAGCTGGGCCGATCCAAAGCCAGGAGCTTCTTCTGGGTCTCCCATGCCGGTGCAGGGCCCAAGCATTTGGGCCATCTTCCACTGCTTTCACAGGCCATAGCACAGAACTGAATCAGAAGAGGAGCAGCCCAGACACAAATTGGTGCCACCAACAGAGGCTTAGCCCACTACACAACAGCACTGGCTCCCCCACTCCCGTCTTTCAAATAAATAAATAAATCTTTCTAAAAAAAAAAAAAAAAGAATTTAAGGTTGTATAAACATTAAAAAGACTTATTTTTAAAAATAATAACAAAAGATAAAAAAAGGGGGCCGACATTTTAGTGCAGCAGGTAAAGCCACACTTCTGATGCTCCACTTCTGATCTGGCTCTCTGCTATGGTCTGGAAAAGCAGTGGAAGATGGCCCAGGTCCTTGGGCCCTGGCACCCACGTGGGAGACCTGGAAGCTCCTGGCTCCTGGCTGTGGATCAGCATAGCTCCAGCCGTTGCGGCCATCTGGGGAGTGGACCAACAGATAGAGGACCTCTCTCTCTCTTTCTCTCTGCCTCTCTGTGACACTGCCTTGCAAATAAATCTTTAAAAAAAAAAGAAAGAAAGAAAATAACATCTAAACAGTCCCAAAATTCAATTATATATATTCAATTATATATATACATATATATACATATATATAAATATAACAGCTGAAAGAGTTCATTATTAAAAGAGAAGGAAATTTGGGTATGGTGCTGTGGTATAGAAGGTTAAGCCTCCGCCTGCAGTGCCGGCATCCCATATGGGCTCTAGTTCAAGTCCTAGCTGCTCCACTTTTGAACCAGCTCCCTACTAATGCTCCAGGGAAAGCAGCGGAAGACTTGCATCCACATGGAGACATGGAAGAAGCTCCTGGCTTCTGGCTCCTGGCTTCGGATCGGCCTAGCCCTGCCTGTTGCAGCCATTTGGGGAGTGAACCAGTGAATGGAAAATCTCTCTCCTCCTATCTCTGCCTTGCAAATAAATCAATCTTTAAAAAAAAGAAAAATGATGGAAATTCAGCCAACAAAAAATGGCTACAATAGGCAGGAATATCCTAACACCAGAAAGTTAAAAAAAGAAAAGAAAAACTTTTATAAAAAACTGTAAAACCGATTGTTCATAAATGAGAGTAATTATGAGAGAAATGGATTTAAGTATTTGGCACAAGAAATAATTCCCTTTTCTCTGACATAGTTGGCTGGCATCACAACCTGTGATATTCTTTCCTTCATCAGTTCACTGGTGAAAACACTCTGCCAATTTGATCTTAAACTCTGTCCTATATGCCAAAAAGCTATTTCTAAAAAACAGGCCCACTAGACAGGAATATTAGCTCAGTGGTATGGTAAAATGTGTTGGCATTAAGATCATACTGATTTACTCCTTCTCTAGAGAAGTAGGTTTCCCACATTACCACTTGGAACACATATAATTTTTTTTTAAGATTTTTTTTTTTTTTTTGGACAGGCAGAGTGGACAGTGAGAGAGAGAGAGAGAGAAAGGTCTTCCTTTTGCCGTTGGTTCACCCCCCAATGGCCGCCACAGCCAGCACACTGCGGCCGGCGCACCGCGCTGATCCGAAGCCAGGAGCCAGGTGCTTCTCCTGGTCACCCATGGGGTGCAGGGCCCAAGCACTTGGGCCATCCTCCACTGCATTCCTGGGCCACAGCGGAGAGCTGGACTGGAGGCACAACCGGGACAGAATCCGGCGCCCCGACAGGGACTAGAACCCGGTGTGCCGGCGCCGCAAGGTGGAGGATTAGCCTAGTGAGCCGCAGCATCGGCCGGAACACATATAATTTTAAAAACTGACTTTAGCATTACTGCTCTTGTGGGGGGAAAAAGACATAGGAGAAAAATGACATTGTTTGTATTTACCTTTTTATTTTTAGGCTTACATTAACAGTCTTCAAAAAGTTCATGGAAATGTGTATCATGAAAAAATTACATGGATTTCAAAAAATTGTTGACACCAAATAAACTTATCTTAGTTTCATTTTTTTAAAAACTTCTGAAGTACCCTCTCAATCTCTAAATTTCAAGCAAAATTATGGCAAAATAATTCTTTGATCTTGGAATATGCTTGCAATAGCTTTGTTTTGTCTCATTTTTGCTCTAGGAAGGTGAAAATCCACGTAGAGCATGGATAAGGGAACCAAAATGACTTTTTTCAAACAGGTTCTACCTGGTGGTTAAGTTTTAGCTTCTCATCTCTCAAAGGAAAAAAAAAAAAAAAACCTCCATCACAAAATTGCTGCAAGAATTAAAAAGTGGAAATTTACAGTCCCGAGCCTAGAACACAAGTCCTCAATAAATGTTTCTGTTACAGAGCTTCTCAACCTCTCAAACTACCTGAAAGCTCAGGCAGCCTCTTACTTACCACACCCATCAGTGAGTGGAAATAAGGGCATAATGAATGATTCTTCACCCAGACACCTGCCTTGCTGTACTACAGGTGGTACCTGTGCTTGTCCACGTGGCCTCTCAACTTGTTGCCATGTGTGTCCCCGCAAGATGGCTCAGCTAAAAGACCCACTCTTACCTGATTACAAAACTGAAGAATTTCTAGTTTTCCCTCAGAATGCCTCCTAAAAGAGGGGCATAAAAAAAACACAAGCCTCTGCCTTGAACAGCTCAGTCTAGGAGGTGAGATCAACATCAGAACCAGTAAATTACAATACACCATAATGATACAGGAAAATGACCGCAGGTCAGTCATTTGTGAGTATTACACAACTGCCACACACCAACTCCCTTAGTTCCTGAATGCTGTTCATTGTCTCATGGGTAGGGCCCAATAAAACTGTGCTTTGATGATGATGATGAATGCCAATTCCAAGTTGGATCACCAGTGTAGGCCTCCTGGGTAGGGAACAGGCTTTGCCATTTAATATTATTAACTTAAGTTTGTTAACTGACCTGCATAAAACCACTAAGTCAGACAGGGTTCAGTATAAAACAGATGCCAGAGTAAACATATGATAAATACACATTGAGGGACTGGTGCCGTGGTGCAGTAGGTTAATCCTCCACCTGCGGCGCTGGAATCCCATGGGGGCGCCGGTTCCAGACCTGGCTGCTCCTCTTCCAGTCCAGCTCTCTGCTGTGGCCTGGGAAAGCAGTAGAAGATGGTCCAAGCCCTTGGGTCCCTGCACCCGCATGGGAGACCAGGAAGAAGCTCCTGGCTCCTGGCTTCGGATCAGCGCAGCTCCAGCTATTGCAGCCATTTGGGGAGTGAACCATCGGATGGAAGACCTCTCCGTCTCTCCCTCTCACTCTATAACTCTAGCTCTCAAATAAATAAATAATCTTAAAAAATAAATACACATTGATTGGCATAGCACAAGATCTTAGGTATCAGAGCTCTGCCAAAAACTGACCTCGCGTTTGATTTGCCCACCTAGCAAAATACAGGCCAAGTACCATGATTATCCTCTCAGCTTCCACCCAGCAGTCCATCATTAAGAAAGGGAACCCAAAATTTTATGGATCTATAAGACACATTTTAAAAACTAATGTTTGGGGGCCGGCGCCGTGGCACAGTGGATTAACGCCCTGCCCTGCAGCGCCAGCATCCCATATGAGTGTCAATTCTAGTCCCGGCTGCTCTTCCTCTGATCCAGCTCTCTGCTATAGCATGGGAAGGCAGTAGAAGGTGGCCCAAGTCCTTGGGCCCCTGTGCCTATGTGGGAGACCCAGAAGCTCCCGGCTTCGGATCAGCACAGCTCCGGCCATTGTGGCTATCTGGGGAGTGAACCATCAGATGGAAGACCTCTCTCTCTCTCTGTCTCTACCTCTCTCTGTAACTCTTTCAAATAAATAAATAGATCTTAAAAAAAAAAAAAAACTAATGTTTATTATTTTAAACAATGCTTAGCCAAATACAACAGAAATTATAATCTTCCTGCTTTTACCTCCAACCTAATTACCACAAAAATCAAATACTTTCTACCTGATCTCTCTGTACATACACAGCTACCTACTATATACCACCTGGATATTCCACATTCACCTTAAATCAACATATGTACTACCCAATTTAACCACCTTGTCCCTAAATCAGAACCCCCTGTACTTCTTTTCCTGTCTTCATTTTCCCAGGGACCTAAGATTTCTAATTCAATCACCAATTCTACACACATCTTATTAGTCACATACCATTTTTTCCATTACTCACATCAGGTTTGTTTGAGTGGTTATTCAATTCAGTTCAGCCCTTACTCACCCCAATCTCTTATTACCAACTGGGTCTCCCACACTACTGGATAAAAGCCACTCTATGTACTCAAGATCCCTGCTGCCTACTAAAGTCAATCTTAGCTGCCATTCAAGCCTCCCTCTACTTGTGACCACATTCTTTTTCCCCAACCTTGTTTGAAGGCCAAAGATACATTCCTTCTGAAGTGTTATTATTTGCTATGTTCTAGGGATCAGAGAAATTTGAGCCCTACCTTCAAAACTCAAAGTAAACAGTAAACAAATACAATGTCTTAATAGGAACATCATAAAGATTTTTTAAAATGCTCTAAGTGCACTAGAAGAAGCTCCTATTCTTGGGCTTCTTAGAAGGCAGTACTGATATGCACTGTATCAGTCAAAGAGACCTATGGTCATTGTGCTCAATAAATTTCTATTGAGTAACAACATAGATTCTGCCTTTGTTTCTACTATAACAAAGAACTATTATACCGACCTTTTTTGGAGGGGTCAAGGGAAGCCTGAGAAGTCAGATTTGCAGGTGTGCTCCATTGGAGGCGTAGCAAAAGATGTCAGTTCTGTTTGCTAATCATCACTCAGACTGGCACTATAAAATGAACCTTGCCGAGGCAGGCATTGTGACATAGCGGGTTAAGCCGCCACCTGCCAACACCGGCATCCCATATGGGCGGGGTTTCGTATCCACTGCTCCAATTTCCATCCAGCTCCCTGCTAATGTGCCTGGGAACGCAGAGGAAGGTGGTCCAAGTACTTGTGCCTCTGCACCAACATGGGAGACCCAGAAGCTCCTGGCTTCAGGCTGTCCCCGCCCTAGCCACTGCAGCCATTTAGGAAGTGAATCATGGATGAAAGGTATCTCTATCTTTCTCTCTCTCTCTCTCTGTGTAACTTTTGCTTTTCAAAGAAAATCTTTACAAAATAGTAATAAAAAAAGATTAAAATGAACCTTGCCAAACTCAACCTACACCCAATTTCAAATAATCTGACCAAAACAGTCTAATGCTTTAGACACAAACAGAAAGTCAGGAAACATCAATCAAGCTAAATCCTCTTCTTGGTAAAACGTACTATGATTTCAGATATGATTCTGGATTTATAACATTAAACATATTAAAAGGGGCCGGTGCTGTGGCATAGTGGGTAAAGCTGCCGCCTGCAGTGCCGGCATTCCATATGGGCACCGGTTTGAGTCCCGGCTGCTCCATTTCCATTCCAACCCTGTTATGGCCTGGGACAGCAGTAGAAGATGGCCCAGGTCCTTGGACCCCTGCACCCTCATGGGAGACCTGGAAGAAGCTCCTGGCTTCAGATCAACACAGCTCCAGCCACTGCGGCCATCTGGGGAGTGAACCAACAGATGGAAGACCTCTCTCTCTCTCTCTCTAACTCTGCCTTTCAAATAAATAAACAAATATTAAAAAAAAATTTGACCCAAACAAACAAGTTCTTCTAAGACGACAGCAATAGTTTAAACCTAAAGGTCACAGTCATTCCTGACACAAAATTGTAATCATTTTCATTTCAAATAAATTCCATTTGAGCAGCTAATTTGTTATCAACTTCCCACTACTTTCTAACCATAATATCTTAAAAACAAAACTTGGGGCTGGCACTATGGCATAGCAGGTAAAGTCCACATGGGTGCCAGTTAAGTCCCAGCTGTTCCACTTCCAATCCAGCTCCCTCCTAATGCACCAGAGAAAGCAGCAGAACATGGCCTAAGTCATTGGGCTCCTGCATCCTGGAGGAAGTTCCTGGCTCCTGGCTTCAGCCTGGCCCAGCTCCCTCCATTGCGGCCATCTGAAGAGTGAACCAGCAGATGGAAGATCGATCTCTCTCTGTGCCTCTGCGTCTCCTTTCTCTGTAACTTTGACTTTCAAAAAAATAATACAATTTTTTTAAGATTTTATTTATTTATTTGAGAGGAGGAGTTATAGAGGGAAAGACAGAAAGAAAGGAGCCAGGAGCTTCTTCTGGGTCTCTCACATATCGGTACATGGGCCCAAGCACTTGGGCCACCCTCTAATGCTTCTCCAGGCCATAGCAGAGCTGGATCATAAGAGGAGCAGCCTGGACACTAATCAGTGCCCATATGGGATGCCAGCACCACAGGCAGTGGCTTAGCCTACTATGCCACAGTGCCGCCACCAGTAATAAATAAATCTTAAAAAAAAAAAAGTCACCCATATCCAACAGAAAAGACTAAAATACATATTTGTACTATAAACAATCCAAACAGTTCTAACACGCATATATATGTTAATGCGAAACAATAGTATTTTTGTCAGAAAAAAGTACTCCCAGAAATGTACTGTGTACATGAAAACAATCTTCAGTCTTTTTTAAATGAACTCATCATTTACTATTTAGCACAATGATAAAGAACCCAGTGACAATATTACAAGATCTTAAAACTAATGACTGCTTAGAAGAAATAAACCAGCAATGTAAGATGTTAAAGACATTCACTGAAAGCAGATATCCTAGGTGACAGTGATTATAAGAGTTTCAAAGCTGAAATAGTGAACTTTTTTTACCTGATGTTCTGCATGAATGTTATCCCCAGTAGGCCATCGATGTTTGCTATTATTATAGCCGCCTCCACCACTTCCTCCTCCCCCAAGCTGCTCACCATGCTGCCTCTGAAAGAAGTAGTCCACCATAGCGTCGTCCTGGGAACGGCCTGCAACTCCTATGGATCCTGGGACAGGGCTGGAGTGTGTCCCAGCGGCAAGAGCCTGATTTGCAGCTGGTTGTGGCTGCGCTTGCGACCCTGTTCCAGATGTCAAAACAACAGGCATGTTGGGATTAGCTGGTTCTTGAGGGTGATGTTTCAGGTGGGGGCTGAAAGAGTCCTGCCAAAGCACTGCTTTTCTTTTCAAGACACATGCAACGCTCATTCCACCAACACCTAAGGACAAACAAGTTACATATGGTTAACGTCTGCATCTCTAAAAATGTAGACACCACTATAAAAACGTGAACCCCGGGTTTTTTGCAGAACAATCATGCACAACCAGTTTTTACCAATTAAAATGTCATACAATATACATACAATTTCCTAAACTGAAACTTCCATTTTTAAGTGGCTGTGTGTAAAATAAATGGCAACAGGCACTTTGACAAGATACTGAGACCATGACTCAATACTGCCACTTTAGAGAAGCTTGTGTTGTTACCAAAAGGTAGCAACAAAGAACTACACTTCAAATGAAGTCCTCTACCCAACTTATTTGCACCGTAAGCCAACTTCAACAGGTTTGTTTTTTGTTTTTTGACAGGCAGAGTTAGTGAGAGAGAGAGACAAAATGAAAGGTCTTCCTTCCATTGGTTCACCTCCCAAATGGCCGCTACGACCGGTGCACTGCAGCGGGCACGCTGCACCGATCCGAAGCCAGGAGCTAGGTCCTTCTCCTGGTCTCCCATGCGGGTGCAGGGCCCAAGCACTTGGGCCATCCTCCACTGCACTCCCAGGCCACAGCAGAGAGCTGGACTGGAAGAGGAGCAACGGGGACAGAATCCGGCGCCCCGACCGGGACTAGAATCTGGAGTGCCTGCGCCACAGGCGGAGGATTAGCCTAGTGAGCCGCCGCACTGGCCAACTTCAGCAGTTTTCATAGCTCAGATTGTCCAACTTGAAAGGATCCTTTAAGAGATCCAATATATTTGTAGGATACACCTCTGGGAAACACTGTTAAGACCCTCTGACCAAGAATGGCAACAGAATCTTCTTAGCCCAAACCTCTCCTGAGCTGCTGTCCATGAGGGGAAAATAATCCAAGCTTTTTACCACCAATTTACAATTATAATTGTAATCACACTGCTTCAATTCCTATAAACAGTGTAAGAACAATTATAATTGTAATCACACTGCTTCAATTCCTATAAACAGTGTAAGAACAAACCAAATTCTACTAGTATGGAAACACTATAAAAACCAGAGGACTCAACATAGTAACAGTGTGATAAATACAAATATATTACAGACATTATCTTATCAAAATAACAAACAAAAAAAGAAAAACCCTGAAAGGTAAGGATCACTATCCTTACTCTGCAGAAGAAAACACTAAGGTACAGAAAGGTTACGCAATGTGCCCAAGGCCATTCAGCTAGTAAGCAACAGAGAAAAGATTCAAACTTTTCAAGTCTAGTTCTGTCTACCAACCCCTTGCTACTCCCCAGTAAGTCAACATTCTCACCGGGATCCTCTACTCCTATAGAAACTGAACAAAGGAGCTCTGAAGGGTTACTATGAAACATTACTAGTTAAGTTCCTTAACAATCAAAAACATTTTAACATAAAATAGAATACTTGTTGGCCTGTGGGCACTTAAAAAAAGGTACAAAGTAAATAAATAAGTTACCAATTAGGACATATCTGCCACAGCACCTAGAGCCCACTTTGAGGACTAAGCTCTAACAGTCACCACTACATACTCCTTATCTTTCCCAAGTCTTACTGTGGTATTTGCAATAGAACTATTTAAAAAAGAAAAAAAAACTATCATCTCTCCTTGTTGGATTTTGTAAAACCTCCTGATACAGTAGCACTGGCTTCACACAACTAATTCATGTTTTTAGGTCAGAAGGAAAAAAACATTGTAAAGGTTAACAATTCCAACCTCTCAGAACCTTCTTGTAGGATTCCAGTAGCCTAGCCGTCTAGTCTTCAGATTATGCTTTCATGAACAAAATCTTGCCCATGCCCAAGTACCAGAAAGCCCTGGCTCTGTTTCACCCCTAGTGTTTGCAAAGTGAAAAGCAACTTAATGCCATCCCACATGATCTTCCAAAAAAGTTACCATCCTCGGATGAGCAATATTGGACATTCCCATTTTCTCCCACAAGAAAACAGCCATCCTAACTTACTCTAGAACAGGCCACAAGTTCCAAAACCCAAGTTCTTCCACTAAACTAACCGACTTCCTGGGCCTATTTCCTTATTAAAATGGAGGAAATCCTTGCTCTATGTCTCACAATGTTTTCTGTTTTTTAAACAAAATAAGATAATACATTTCAGAGTTTTTGATCAGAGGAAGTCACCACGCCAAAGACCTTAGAAACTTAGTGACCACCACTTAAGGCAGTTGAGAGTTAGTCTCTAAGAGAACTCCTAAAATAGTAAATGCAATCTTTTCTGAAATAAGGACCTATCAAAATAGTTATCTAACAAGGAATTTCCATATGAAAAAGGAGTCTACCACTGAAACAAGCTGAACACAACTTCATTCAAAAAGGAATGGGGCGGAGAGATTCCTATAAAATTGTTCAAACAAAACAACTGGTGTTTTGTAGGCCCTGAGACTTCCTGCTTTACCTAATGAGGCAAAGCAGTTTCTCAAACAAGAAAAAACCTGGCAGAAAGGGACAATCTGAAAGTGAGCAAATGCCTAACCAATTAACCTGTGTCTTCAGCAGTTTTGTGATCCTAGCAACTACAGCACAAAAATTAAGGAGGCAGTCACCTAAATAACAGAAAACATTTAACTGCTGATACCTTTTTAGGGAACTCTTAACATTCACTAAAAAGTTACATGCAGCATTTGAAATGGTTTTTTTGTTGTTTTTTTGTTTTGTTTTTTTATTTTTTACAAATGACACACTACAGCAAGTATATTAAGCAACTAGAATTAAGGGCCAATCCTCTACCCTGTCACAGCTTTTCATACTGTTTACATCAAGGGGTTTTGTTTTGTTAATATCAGTAATAGAGTTTACTTCAAACAAAGGAACAGGACTTAATCCATCTCTATAATTCACCTTTTACTAAAATGCTTAGTGGTTGAAAAGGTGTTTATTTTTACCACACTGAACAAACATTCTGTGGTCATAAATTTATTTTAAAGCAGTTCGTCTCAAACCCAAACTAAACAAATTCCAACTTCAAAAAGCTGTGGCCTTGGACAAAAGGAATTCAAGTGTGGCTAAGGTAAAATACTAACTCAAAGTCCAGAATCCAGTGAGTAGTTCTCAAAGACCCAGAGAGACAATCAACAGCCCTGGGAGTGTTTTATAAAGTTAAACTCAGCAATGGATCAAAGGGTTTACTTAGCTTACTTAAAGCAGCAGCAGAAGCCACTGATCTTGAAGGGGGCTTACTTGAGTTTTCCAGTGTTCTCACAGAACAAACAAAAAGCTACAGCAACAAACCTACAGTTTCAGAAGTAACTGACTTTAAAGCAGAAACTCCCCCAAAAGCCTCATAAAATCTTAACCATTTCAGTAATAAGAAGTGCACAAAATGCCAACAAGAGCTAAGAACAGGATTTTCTTAATGGAACAATGAAGGGTAACAATCCTCCGAGAAAACCTTGGCTGGTCATGCAGCCTGGGGGTCTGGGGGTTTCTTTTGTTTTTCAGGCGAGGGTGGGGGGACTTCACTGGAAGGGGTTACGAGAGCTGACTCCTCACTTGCCGTGGGAGTGGTCCTCCCAAATACAATACATGACCTGTGTTTATCAAGCACTTCGCCGAGCACGGAAACTATCTAGCATTGTGTGGACGTTTTCCCTACTACCAAGGAGGGGGGAACTCCTCTTCGAGTTGAGAGGCAGACACCAACACGGAGAGGCTCAAAGAGGAGGAACCCCCTAAAAACACGGGTTCTCGCGGAAACAAAAGGCCACAAGCACCCGGGAGCCTACACAGCCACCGGAAACTTCCTGATGGCCACTTACGCACATTTAAGGCTTGCAAAGTTCCCCCCACGGTGGGTCTCGCCTGTGGCGATGGGCCACGGCCGCTCCTAAAGCCATGTATTGTTCCTCCTCCCTTGGCGCTGCCACGGAAGCGCAGGAAGTCGAAGGAATCCGGGGTGGCACAGAATTATACTCCACGGCCACACCGAAGACTCGGGGCTTCGCAAATCCATCAAAAAAAGCAACCCGAATGGCAACATCA